TTTCCAACTGCATTTATACGAGAGGGAATTTGGGTCTAATCTAGAATCGTTGTAATCTGATCCATACTAATCCATACTAATCCATACTAACCCCTAGGAAATCAAAAAGCAGTATCTGCCTTGTGTGAAATTTTCTTTCCTACCAGAAGAACAGTTGTTGATAATAAGCTGATCTTTGCGCAGTACAGGGTCAAGTATGATCAATTAGATTAGAAAGATTATGCTACGCCAATCTCTATTCCAAAATTTGTCTTTTTATCTGAGTTTGAACATTTCCCACACACACCACTGTTAAATGTACACGATAAAAATGTACCTAAAAAAATGTACCTAATAAAAAAAAATTATACCTGAAAAGAATGTTCCGAATAAAATATTGTACCTAGAAAAATGTACCCAATAAAAAATTGTACCTAAAAATGTACCTAACAAGAAAATTATACCTGAAAAAATGTGCCCAATAAAATATTCTACCTAGAAAAATGTACCCAATAAAAAATTGTACGTAAAAAAATGTACCTAATACGAAACTTATACCTGAAAAAAATGTACTCAATAAAATATAGTATAGGGAAAAATGTACCCAATAAAAAATTGTAACTAAAAAATTATACCTGAAAAAAACGTACTTATTAAAAAATTGTACCTAAAAAATTTTCCCAATAAAAAAATTGTACCTAAAAATGTACCCAATAAAATAATTGTGCCTAAAAAAATGTACCTGATAAAAATTTGTACCTGAAAAAATTGTACCTAAATTAAATGTATCTAATAAAAAAATTATACCTGAAAAAATGTACCAAATGAAAAAATTGTACCTAAAATAATGTACCCAATAAAAAATTATACCTAAATAAATGTACCCAATAAAAAAATTATACCTGAAAAAAATGTACCCAATAAAAAAGTCTGCCTGAAAAAAGTGCATAAAATTCCTCTGAGAAATGTTGTATAAGTAATTTTAGAATTTTAAAATATGCAATACCCTTGAAGTATAAATATCCTTTCTCATTTCAAATGATGACAACATATCTTAGTTACTTTTTGTTGACTACTAAATAATTAAAACCTTCGACAACCCAAAGTACTTTTACTAACAATAGTAATGGTCTATTTACTTTCTTCGGCTCTCTTTTTCTTCAATTATCTTCTGTCAATTGTGTTTGAATTCTTATATAATATATTTAATCCTAATCCAAATCGTAAATGTATTTTTTAAATTGTCAAGCATGGCCATTTTCTCCAATTTTAGAAACGGTTGTTCACCCGCCGACCAAAGCCAGCAAAAAGAATTCATTTAAAGAAAGGGCGACAACTCTATCGATACCAGACGATCAGAATGGAACAGCGACACTCAGAGGCTGTCTTAAAGCAACTCGCCCAAAAGCTTCTTTCCGAACCAGAAAACAAACAGTTCAAATTAGCTATTCACGAATTTCAGCAGAGCCACTCCCTAACCACTTTATGTTCCCAGTTGAAAAATGTAATTAACACACCTGAGCGGCTAGTGCTGCTTGTAGAGTTGAGTTATTTGGTGCCACCTCACCTGTCAAACGACTTCCACCGACTGTGTTCACTTCAGTTTCACAATTACGGCAAAGCGCTACAGACGTGTCGACCGGGCACTCTTCCCCGACACGAAAGCTCGCGTATAATCGCCCAGGACTCGTCGGGTAAATCTCGCATCGTATCTCAGGGTAACTTTAAACAGCTGGTAATCAGCAGTTCGCCCGATTTGCGACACAGTTCCCGCATATCCCAGAACTCGAACGGCAGCCGGAGTTTCGACGATATCGACGAATCAACTTCGGCTTTCGACTCGTTCTGGGACGCCAGCCTCTCACCTCGCTCGTACAGAAAATTTGACAGCCATTATATAACGAACACTGGCAAGATGGCTGAGGCTATCTATGGCAGAAACAAATCGCCTGGATACGAGCAGACGAATGGCTATACGGGGCGGAAAAATGAGATCACGCTTTACGAAGACAGCATGGGTTTGTCCATCACGAAAATCCCGGACAGTAATACCAGCAACACAATGAATCGAAAAAAAAACCTGCGACGGGTCTATATACTTCGAAATCAAAGTAACCTGGGCTTATCGCTGAAGGGAGGAAGTGATGACCGAACGCCAGTAACAATTGATTGGGTGGAAGAAGGAAGTCTAGCACACCAACAGGTAAGTCATTTTTATGGTATATTCAAGAAAGTCACACCTAAAAAACAATTATATATAAAATACAGTAACTATTTTTATTATTATGGTTATTCTTTTATGTACCATGTCCTTTCAAGGCGTGGGTAATCACAGCTCTCTACAACTTCCTGTCTTTTGTTACTCTAAGTAATTTATTTTTACTCTTTACCATACATCTTTGTCTCTGTTCTGTCGTCCATTCAAACTCACTGAGTAGATTATTCACTATTTTCCCTCTGTTTCTCTCGCCTTCAGTATGTCTTGTGAGTGTTAAATTCTTTAGGCCTTCTTTCCTCATTATGTGCCAGGTGACTGTCATCTGCATCTTTCTGGTAGTAAATATTACCATGCAGTTCCTTTTTTTCTTCAAACTTCCTTGTTGCTTAAATGCTTCTGTCCATCATATTCCCAGCAGCCTTCTGTAGAACTACATCTCGGTCGGTTTAAGTTTCTTAATCTGTGAGAAGATTATCCAGCACTCACTGCCATAAAAGAGATTAGATATTACACACATTATCTTTTCTTTGCTTCTAAAAAACATTTTCAATCTCTTAATACTTCCCTTAATTTCTGAAAGGCATCTTTCGCCAATCCAATGCACATATGGATCTCTATGGCATATGGTGACTGTTGGATCATATAGGTATTACAACTTCTCACAGCGATGGTCTGAACAAGTCAGGTAATTATGGAAGAGTAGTTTACTCAAATTCTTACTAACCTTCTTCAATACTTATTGTGATATCTCAGTGATGAGGATTTTTGTCATTATATCTGGTGAGAGGGGAGAAATGGATTCACACCTTTCTCATAGCCTTTTAGCAGGAACTTGGAATTGGTTCAATGATTCTCTATCCAGTGACGATATTTTTTTTTTTTTTTATTGGAGACAATGAAGGTTTTTTAATGTTGATATACTTTTGACATTGTGGGTAATATCAGATTTTGGCATTTTTGATCATCCATACTTCAGTCGTCTCAAGAAAATAAATTGGTTTTTCAACACATATGGATGAGAAAAATTGACTTGGTGTCCACTTTTAAATAGATGTAATTTTTTTTTCATTATATTTACGCAAAATATGACTATTTATTTTTTCAAAATGCTTCAGTGCCTTTCCCACCGCCGTAACGTTGGTTCCCTCTGCTTTTTCTATAAATACACTTCCAAGGCAATTGTTCTAAAGAACTTTCCTCTGTAGTATCCAGACTTTATGAATTTAAGTGCAGTACTAGATTGGCGCCAAGATCTCACCGTTTTACAGTTATAATGGCTAGATGCAACCGCAAGTTCTGTGCTAACATCTTCTTTTCTCGCACTTCTCGCCTGTGGAGCTCTCTTCCGGCTTCTTGGTTTTTAATCAAGTTTGATCATCAAAGATTTATCTTTTATTTTCTTAGTTCCTGTTCTGTTATCGTTCTTGCTCATTAATAAGATTTTTTTATATTCTTTCACACTCCGTAATCACAGCGTCTTAGCGACTTTATTACCTTGTTTGTGGTGAAATGATAAAAAAAAAAGTAAGCATTAAATTATCGAGTTTTCATTGATTATTATATTTACATAATTACTACTTTATTTTTGGAAGATTTTAGATTACAATTTTTTTCTGTCGAAAGACATCAAAGTTAATTTTTAATAAGAAAAATTGATATTAAAAACAGTTCTAAAACATGTCGAAAACGGCAAAAGTATTTTCTATATTTTTTGCAGTTAAAATCAAAATCTAAATTTAAAAAAAAAAAGATATTTAAATCCTAGCAGGAAGTTTTAAAATTTTTATTTAAAACTGTCCGTAATGATTAGAATGATTTTTGATTTAAAGCCGAGCGAATTGAAATGGAAGACATCATACAAATTATGCCATTTTGGGGGCTAATGTACATAAAATGGGAAAGTTTTATCTGTCACATACTCTAAATATTGCAGAACAGGACTTCTACGTTTTAAATTTACGAATACTGACTTAAACCTAGCTACATATATACATGCATATATATATATATATATATGTGTGTGTGTGTGTGTGTGTGTGTGTGTGTGTGTGTGTGTGTGTGTGTGTGTGTGTGTGTGAAGTATGAAACAGACTGTCACTGCTAGTTTATGCTTTCAATGTCCACTTTATATTTACATAAGCTTTATCCCAAGTACTGAGCACTTTAACCCATAAATATAACATGCCTTAAAACTATTTTATTATATATACATAGATATACATATATATATACATAGATACACATATATATGTACATATATATTTATATAAATATATATATATAAAATATATATATAAATATATATATAAATATATATAAACATATATACATAAACATATATATATATAAATATATATAAACATATATATATATAAACATTATATATATGTATATATATATGTTTATATATTTATATATATGTTTATATATATATGTTTATATATTTATATATATTTATATATATATATGTTTATATATATATATATATGATTATATATATATATATTTATATATATATGTGTTTATATATATATGTTTATATATATATATATATGTTTATATATATATATGTTTATATATATATATATATTTATATATATATATATATATATATATATGTTTATATATATATATATGTTTATATATATATATGTTTATATATATGTTTATATATGTTTATATATATATATGTTTATATATATATGTTTATATATATATATGTTTATATATATGTTATATATATATATTTTATACATGTTTATATATATATGTTTATATATATATATATATATATATATGTTTATATATATATGTTTATATATATATATATGTTTATATATATATATATATATATGTGTGTGTGTGTGTGTGTGTAATAGACGTATATTTTTAGTTATATATATATTATTATATAATCAACACGTTTTATAATTTATTTAGATAAGATGTTGCATATCGATTATGCGCAGTACTTATTGGAAAGTGCTCAATATCAGTGACAGAGCTAACATATTCAGTTGTATGGATATGAGTTTGTAACCCAGAGTTTCGCGCTTTTGTGATCATCAGACAAACAAACAACAATATATATATATAAAAATGGAATATGCGAAAACTATTATAAAATTTGATTTTAACAAATTTTTATATTTGCTTCTGTTGTGAACGTTTTGTCCATTAAGAACATCATTAGAACAGCTGAACGAAAGGTATACAAAAGAACATTTTAAACATCCAAATGGTTTTCGCATATTACGCATTCTTTACGTATATTTCATATCATTCATTTTACGAGCAATATGTTTATTGTATTATATGTACAATATATATCTATAATATATATGCAACAGTTTTGGTTTTATATTATACATAATATATATATTATTTTCATAGTATTACATATACAGTTTGCTAAAGATAAATTGTCGTCAAAATTACACAAAAATGAAAATAGCACTGACGTCTCATTTTAACAAATATATTTACCCTAATTACACAAAAATATCTTGAAATACTAATGAATAAATTTATTCAATAAAATCGCCATTGGCTTCAACCACGGCCTCCAAGTGACTTCGGAGTCTCCTGCAACTCTTCTGGATAGCCTCCTTGTTTAAATTGGTGAATGCTGCCATATTAATTGTCTTCAGTGCATCTTTGGTGTTACAAAGAGTTTTGTTGATCTCTCGCCCAACTGCGCCCCACACATAATAATCAAGGGGGTTGCAGTCTGGGGAGTTAGGTGGCCAGATGTAAGGGTTGATATGACCGCAGAAATTGCCTGACATGTTTGTGTACCATGGTGCAGAGTCCTGTAGCCAGACATAGGATCTTCCAGCAGCCACCCTCCTCACCCAGAGCAGCACTACCCCCTCAAGGGACTTGATGTAGGTCCAGTGTTGAGTCTGAGGCCCTTACCAACAAATTCTTTAGTTCTTTTCTTATCAGAACAACCAGAGAGAGTTTTCCGAGCAGCCGTACATTCGTAATCACCATTAGACTCATCCAATTCTTTCCAAATCCTTTGCACTATCCTCAGATTGACACCCAAACATTCTGAAATGTTCATATTGGAGCTTACGGCATGAATGACAAAGAGGAAATCATCCCGTTTTCAAATTTCTGGCGGAGTAAATTGCGTCATGGTGCTCTTTGTCTCACAGACGGTTCCCGACTGGCCCTACTATACTCTGCAGTCAATATATACAAAAACACCAACGTGCATCCACGAAATAAAAAATATAAAATGGTGAGAATTTACTCATCGCACTCTCTCTCTCTCTCTCTCTCTCTCTCTATATATATATATATATATATATATATATATATATATATATGTGTGTGTGTGTATATATATATATATATGTGTATATATATATGTGTATATATATATATGTGCGTGTATATATATATATATGTGTGTATATATGTGTATATATATATATGTGTGTGTGTATATATGTGTATATATATATATATGTGTGTGTGTGTGTGTGTATTTCAATAAAGGTGCAATTAATTTACAAATTCATGAATTATTCATACAAAAAACAAATACAAAGGTTAATGATTTAATTGGCGAGAAATCCATCGTTGCGAACAATTCAAATAATATACAAAAACCCCGAACCTGTTTATGCATGAAAAGATCCTTGTTTCTATAAATTTCTGTTGCATGAGTTCTTATTTTTACAAGGTTTCGTCTGTTCAAACAGACATCCTCAGGTATGGAATAGATTTTGTTCTTGTTTTTTCTCTCAGTAATAAGAGGACAACGAAAATATATGTACTGTATAACTCATTTCTAATAGCATTTTTCGGATTACAACAGTACATATATTTTCGTTTCGTATTTCTTTAAGGCATGGGCTTCCAGGAATCCCTTCAATTAATCAACTGGAATCTTCTTCAACCAACCCTAGGGTTGCAACTACAAAAGGAATTGTTGATGTTCCCATGTGCCACATTTTTGAGATTTCGATTTCAAGGTCCTTGTATTTTGACAGTTTTTTGAATATCTTCAAAGATACATTGCAGTCTGCAGGGATTGCCATATCAATAAGGGTGCACTTTTTTTGTTTGTGGTCTTTAATAACAATGTCTGGGCGGTTGGCTTTGATTGTTCTGTCAGTGTGTATTGTGTAGTCCCATAGAATTGTAACAGGTCCTATCTCCGTAACCGGGTCTGGGTGGTGTTCATAGCAGTTTCTTTCAGTTTCCTTCCTGTTTCCAGTGCAGATATTGGCCCACTCTGTCGTGCCGGGTTTTTATTATTATTATTATTATTATTATTATTATCTTTGTTCACAAGGTCTTTCAGCCAGATCTTGCATCATGAGTGTCCTCCACTAAATCAGGTGCCCTCAGACCGAGAGCCCCTTTCGTAAAATAATTGTAGTGCCAAGCAACACAAACTTCTGAAGAAATGGGATGCGAGGTTTCATTCCAATTTTCTCAATGTTCGATCGTATAAACCCCAAAGCCCAAATGATAACTGGGACTATAGTGGACTGTACTTCCCACATTCTGGCATCTTCAATCGGGGAGTTAGTGTATTTCTTAAGCTTGTCAGTTTCTTTGACCTTAATATTATGGTCACGTCGATAAGGAGGCATTTTCTTGTTTCTTTGTCAACGTAATTATTATTATTATTATTATTATTATTATTATTACAACACTTTGAGGGGAGCGCGTTTTAAGAAAAGAAAAAGAAAAGACACAGTGTTGAACAATGCTAAGAATATTTCGACTGTATGCCTGCCTTCTTCAAATTATGCTTAAAACTCGCATACAAGTACAAAAAATATATTAAAAAATACAATTTTTTTGTACAAACGTCGCTTCCCTTGAGAAAAATGGTTGTACTGGTAATCAACCAGGCAAAACTGACGAAAAGCAGCCAGCGTAAATGAAGTGAAACATAACCGTGCGTAACATGATGGGGTGTGATCGTTTTGAAATTTTCCGTTAGTCGATTAGTTATTAAGAGCAATTAATCAAATAGTTTAATATTTGGACAAATTATTATTATTATTATTATTTGTGTATATTATGTTTCCTGCTTTGTATCCTGTAGAGTCGGGTCCAAACTATGGTTCTTAGGCCCTATAGGAGAATTGCCATTTAATTGATAGTACTTTTCTTAGTATATGGGATGTTTCTAGGAGGGTGATCTGGGCAACTTGTATGTTGATGTTACCTGGCACACTGTTCGTAAAATTGTCCGTTCCTTTTCTCACGAGGCCCAGAGCTCCGATTACTATTGGTAGAGTTTCAGTCTTCATTGCCCACATCCTGTTAATCTCGATCTCCAAGTCCTTGTATTTGTACAATTTCTCAATAATTTTCAGGGAGATTTTTCTCTCAGATGGTACTGCTATGTCAATAAGCATACACTTCGCGAATTTCTTGTCTTTTATGATAATGTCAGGCCTGTTGGCTTTTATTTTCCTGTCAGTTTGAATTGTCATGTCCCAGAGGATAGTTACATCGTTATTTTGTATCTGGTTAGTGCTCATGCCATCTCTCAGTGGTTTCAATTTTGTGCTTCTTGCATATTTTCTACTGCTCATATGTCGCTACCTTATTTTGTTTGTGGATATATTCATTTTTGCTAATTCCTTATTATTATTATTATTATTATTATTATTATTATTATTATTATGTCGGATATATTACATTATAGTTCAAAAGTTTGAGGCCACCCCCAGAATTATCATGAGTGAAAACTTTCCATCCCCCGACAAATGTAAAAGATCTCTTAGAGTCATTGAAATAAAAAAGAATGGAATCAATTATCAAACTTACACTTTGAGAAACGAATGCCAAAAATTTGTGCTGCAGTAATCAAAGCTAAAGGGGGATATTTTGACGAGAGCAAAAATTTAATCATAAAATGCATTTTTTATTTTTGTCAGAATAAAATTTCTAATAAAAAAAAATCATGTCTCACTTTTTTTTTAACCATGTATAATAATTTTCTCTTATTTAAAGTACAAGGCAACTACTTTTGGAGCCAATTTTTAAAAATTACCAGGGATTATCTCAAATGTTTGAACTGTAGTGTATCTGGAAATTAATGCAGGGAGAGAGGGCCACATCCAGCGGCCTTAGGTATGATGCAATTTTCCTCTGGCTCTATGTGTTCATCACTTCTCGGATTATTCTTTCCATTGCTAAGAGGTTTCCTTTCTGTAACATTTCCACTGGCCAATCAATGTCAAGTTTTTTTTTTTTATCCACATCGCTATTCTGTAAGTCACTGTACCAAATGCACAATGACAACTGATTATTATTATTATTATTATTATTATTATTATTCCTTCGATCAGAACCTTTCACAGTCAAACCCAAGGCCACAACGCCCACTGGAATTATTGATGTCTTTATGAATCATTTTTTAGTGATTATTATTATTATTATTATTATTATTATTATTTCTCTTTGAAATTTATACAGGGATTAAAAGCAGGAGACAGAATTCTTGAAGTCAACGGACACGATTTTTCCCGTATTACCCATGATGCAGCAGTCAAGATTATGTTAATGTCTTCAGAGCTAGGCCTCCTTGTCGAATCAGACGGTATGTATGCAGCTATTCATTACGACTAAAATTTATCAGAAATGATATATTTATTTTTTCATAATCATCTAATGAAATTTGATAGAGCTAAAGTTCGAGGCTCCACACATCATCAACAATTTTTTTCTGAATCCTAGCCGCCTTTAATCATTTTATTTTATATATTCTTGAAATGATATAAGGGAACATTAACACATATCGATAGCCAACAGGCATGTTCTCCGGAATTACTTTCATCTTTTATTTAATTAAGTTGTATTTTGAGGCATTAAATTATATTGGCCTGATTTCACATTTAAAATTCTACTTATTCTAATTTCCTGTTAAGAAATGAAGGATTATTTCCGGTTTTCAGATATTCATAGGCACAACTCTCACTTACATATATATATATATATATATATATATATATATATATATATATATATATACGATCCGTCGCTAAAGATGCTTAAAAATGGTCGGTTCCTGTACCTTTCCAGCAAGTACCTGACTCCTCTTACTATCCTCTAGCTTTACAAGAGCCAAATCAGGATGAAAATGGCGTACTGCTGCCATATATGGGCGGCGGCCGCCCAGTCATCACTTTCCACTCTCGAAAGAGTCCAAAAGCGTCCCCTCTTGTCTTTTTAGGCGACAAATTATTTCCACTCTGCAACCCCTTTCTCACAGATAAGACGTCGCAAGCTTCTTGCTGTCCTATCGCTATTTCCAGGGTGGGTGTTCATATGAACTACACTCCTTGGTTCCATCAGTCATAACCTTAACGTCTAAGACCCGCTATTCCACACACATTGTAGCGAACTATCCTCATTCTCTTCGTTTTTCCCACTGGTGAAAGGTCTTCGAACCACTACCTTGTAGAACCGGCTCCCAAGAGGTTGCTTCGCTGATCACAACAATCTTAACCTTTTTAAGTCTATGGTTAACTTCTTCCACATATATCCGCATAAGCTGTACCTCTTTCTTTGTAAGCCTCTACCTCGAGTGGCTCTAGGGCCTTGTACAAAAATAAAGTTTCCTCTGTGATCTAGTGTCAGGATACTGTAATTTACATGATGAAGGTTCTGTGAGTGAGTTTGTTGCTTCAATATATCCCCATAAGTGCCCAATAGGATTGGTACTTGAAGAGATTTGTGGCCAGCGTAGCACAATGTATACTTGTTCCTGAAATCATTCCCGTATTAATCTTTACGTATACAGATGGAATTGTCCTCCTGTCAATATCACTGTTGAAGACTGTTGCAATTAAGGGAATCACCTTCCACGTGAATGATAGAATACAATGTTTCTCCACAGAACAATCACACTGCCACCACTAGCTTGTTTTTTTTTTCCTCTTCCAAAGTTCATCCTAGTTTCATCACTTCCTCTTGAATAACGGCGCACACATACCCTACCTGCCATCCAGGTTATGCAAGAGAAAGCGACCTTCTCCCATTGATACAAGTTCCAGTCATGATGTTCGACTGCTCATTGATGACCATTAGTTAATATAAGACTGACCTATGGCTACACAGTTAAATGCACATCAAGTATCAATGTACTGCGTGCTGTGATACATTCCCTGCTACTGTAGCCTGTCTATTGGCTTCTTATTTGTCAGGAAGCTTCGATTCAATTTTTGCATTAATAAAATATTGATCGTCCATTACCTTATCAGTGATTGTTGATGTTTTCTTCGTTAGACCTTTTCCGATAGGTAATCTGCCGAAGGTGAGCAACCTAAAAGAGATTCATTTCGCCCCACACAAAACGATAATGCCACAAGGGGTTACTTGGAGTGAAAGAGAACGAGAAGACTTTTATGAAAGTAAAAGAAGAGTATTCAGGAAGACAGAAGATGGCGATTGTCTTTGCATTTTAAATTTTGAAGAACATAGGCGGCAAGGAACCGGAAGGGCATTCCACAAGCGATAAGTGCGAGAAAATAAACTATTAAAATAGAACTTACGGTTACATCTAGCTATTTCGACTGTCAAACGGTGAGACCTAATTGCCAATCTAGTAGTATGCTTCAATTCATAACAGGAGCACAAGAGCAGATCAGTCAGTCAGTTATGGTAGCTTTCGATGCATGACTAACGAGGTAGATTTTTCCGTAGTAGGTTCCTTTCTGTGGTAGACCAGTTGCCCTCCAAGGCTATAGAACCCGATTTGTCCTGCTAATTACCCATAGCTGTGGGAAGAGAAGAAAAGGATTCACACTTTTCCCAAGGGTATTAAGCACATAAGTGAATGTAATGGATTTGACTGGAATTCGAACTCGGCTCTCCGATTCATCAATCCAAACCGCTAGCAATATTCCATACACGGACAAATGGTAGATTTATAAATGGGCATGATGGATTCTGACGAGACAAATTGTCTGGTACGACACACTGAACCAACTGTGAATGTTCCTGTTCAATGTTTACACGGGTGACCACAATGGAGCAAAAGGTTCAGTAAACAAAATGAGGTTTGTGTTTCAGACTACATAACGCATAAACAAAAATATCAACGATTTCTCAGATATTCAGAGTATGTCATCATAATGTCATTGCTGAGTAATTATAGCTCAACATCCGGGTTATATGCCACATTATAATATCCGGGTTATGTATCAGTGAGACGAGGTCTTTACACCTGACGGGAAATCCAGCTCGCATTTGAAGCTTGAACTGAGCTTGTTTATTTAATTCCAAAATCGACGCGAGTGGATCAGTAAATCTGTAGATAATACATGAATTTTGATCTGATTTTTTTTCCATATTGTTTTATCGTTGTTATTAATATTCCACACCAAATAAAGGCATTTACAAATAAAGAGATTATGTCTAAAAAGAAATATTTGTAGTGTAAAAAGAAATTGCTTTTTAATTACAATACTTGAAATCGAACTAATGTCTCGATGTGATTTTATCACAATGTTTCGGCCGCTGTCTTTCCTGGTAAACCTCAGATAATTTCAAAATGAAGCCTTTATTTAATTTCGTTTCGCTGTCCCTGGATATCTCATATTGTTCTTTTTAAATATTGCACGATTATTACTTATCCCTTTTTCCATTGAATCCAGAGTATGACGATAAACTACATCCGGCAGCAAGGCCTCTGATCGAGAGCTTTTGAAGAGCATGTAACCACCTCTTAATTGCTCTTGTTCCCAGATCCACCCTGACCCGGGGTGGTGGCACATGTTAGGGTCCCAGCTATGGGCAAATATTAAAACCTCACACAAAAATCAACAGTAACATTTTTTATAATAAAATGACAAACAATACATTTTTATTACAAAATGACGATCAATGCAACACTAAAAAATATAAAAATACATTTTTATGATAAAATTCCGAACAATATATTTTATGATCTACAAACTACACAGGGTGTATCAAAAATACTTTTACAAACTTTGGGAGCAGGTTCCTCTCACCAAACGAATAAAACATATGTCAGCACATCCTTCGTTTTGGAGCCATTAAGTTTAAAGAAAGTTTACGGTAGATGGTGCTGTGTTGCTAATCTGTTTTTAACGTTTAACGTGTGTGGTAGTGAATTAACTGAGGAGTTTTTTGTTTAGCCGCGACAAGATATTCATATCGTGAGCAGGCAGATATGATTTTTACATATGGATGCGAGGCTGCACGGCTGTATCAGATTGCGTTTCCATAACGAGGGCATCAGTTTATGATTAATGTATGAGCTGGAATTGTAGGTGTCTATCTGGTAAGTCCTTATGTTTTCACAGCACGTCTTACAGGAGCTGTTTACAGGGGCTTTATTTCGAACACACTTCCAGACTTGCTCGATGATGAACCCCTGCTAATATGAAGACGTATGTGGCTCATTCATGACGGGGCTCTAGCACATTTTAGTCACATTGTTCGCGATACACTAGCTGGCATTTACCATGAAAGATATACAGGTAGAGGAGGGCTGGTTCCATGGCCTTCACGTTAGCCCGACCTCAAACCTTTCGATTTTTATCTGGGGGGGGCCATCTTAAACAATTGGTTTATGCAACAAGCTTTAATAATACAGAGACGCTTCATCAACGCTTTACTTAAGTTGCACCTAAGTAGCCCACAGTGAATGAGGGCTTTCGGTGAGATTTTATAAATAAACCAGACCTATTTTTATTTTTTCATATTTATTTATTGCATTTTTGAGTGATGCTCAAACTGTTTACAGACAATGATAGTATTAGTTAAAATAATAATTTCCTTTAATTTTCTTTTATCATATGGTATTATTTGTTTAGTATACAAAACAAATAATACCATATGATTATAGTATCTATATATATAAAACAGACGGTATCTCTGAGTCTGTCTGTTTGTGTGATACCTTTTCACTCGAGATCCATCCAACTGATTTTGACCAAACTTGGAACATAAATTGCAAAATGTAAGAGACTGGCTCTTAGCGTAAAAATCGACAATTTAAAAAAAAAACAATAATCGATAAAGCTGATCAAAAATCGATAATTTCAATTTTTTCGCCGATTTCGTTCAAACATGGTATGTAGGATACTTACATTATGACGAGTTCAACGATACCTCATTTTTATTTCTACGTCACTGCGTTTAGCGAAAAACCGCGAAAAACGAAAAATCGATTTCAACATTAATTCTAAACTAAAAAATCCCTCAACCTTTAAGAAATCTAATACAAACTTCACTCAGTTTTAGCCAACAATAAGTTGACTGTTTAACAGTCATTTAACTTGATAATTGAGTCCACCCATATATTGAAAACCCGCATAAATAACGAAAAATGACGATTTTTACGGATTTCTTTCTTATTTTTTGTTGACCTTTCATCAAGTTTTCATCAAACTTAACAATTGTTTTTTAAATGTATGCTCTTTTATATCCCTGGTATCACACTGACAAATTGAATTTCAAAAACTCCAAAATAATTGTGGTCTGAAGTTGGTCTTCTTGTTGCCTGTTTTATCCCTTCATGTCCTCGGTTAACTTTGATTGAATAAATACAGACTACCTCTGTGATATCAGTAACTGCATTAATTCAAAATGTTTTTTTAATGAAAGTATTTTAAAGTAATGGAAGAGGGTAGACTCTGTTACATTTAAAGATGATTCTGTTTTTACTTCATTCTAATGGAATGCTTTTTTCTGATCGACCAGCTAATATTAAGTAAAGGCTACTTCATTTTCTTGTCCTATTCAATATATATATATATATATATATATATATTAATGTATATTTTAATGTAGAGAATTTTCTCAACTCGTAAATCACATACTTTAGTGATGCGTCGTTCTCATAAATCAGACTCGCAAGTTTAGATCATAAAATTAAGTAAGACCTGTTTTATAAAAATGCATATATATATATATATATATATATATATATATATATATATATATATATATATATATATATATAAAATTCCCAAGAGGATAGAATCCAGGTAGAACTCAGGACAGAGTAAGAATATAATATAAAAGGCTCAAACACTAATATTCCAGGGTTATAATTTATTACATTGGAATCGTAATTACGTGTCTGATGAATTGGATCGTGATTACGATTCCAATGTAATAAATTATAACCATGGAATATTAGAGTTTGAGCCTTTATATATATATATAATATATATATATATATATATATACACAGAAATGTTTATCATTATGGATGTATTATTAGATTCCCGGTGAATATACGGTTTTTTGGTATAAGTTCGGATTGGCTGAAGAAGGATGAGTTTTTGTAGTGTTTGTGTCACTTGTTAAAATGAACGAATCGTGAATCGAATTAGATAAGAATACTATATATGGTGATGACCAGCTTTTCCCCCTCTTTCCCTTCGACCCTGTGACACAAACAATGTATTCATTGTTAAATAAAGACAATACCTAACGACACTGGTATTTGGCATAAAAGAGCACCAAGCATGGATTTGATTAGAGAATATTTGTCAATAAGTTTGTGACCGTTTTAAACGGGCAGCTTCAATTGCTTGAATAAGGGGTTATATTTTATATTCCTTCGATTTTTGGTGAGAAAAAAACATTTGGTGTTTAAAACGTCGATATGTACGTTGCAATAGACAACATTATTTGTCAGACTGTTTCGTTTTTTACTCATTTCCCCCCATGCAAGGAATATAGCCACTACGACACGTTACAGAATATGAAATAATAAGGGGGAAAAAAGGGAAACATTTATTCAGAAGCGAGTACAATAAAAAAAAGAATAATCAATAACATTGTGGTTGTCTACGGCTTATTAACTTTTTTCAGGTTATTTAAAGCCAGAAAATACTTTTAGAATTTAAAAAAATGCTTTTTGGGTGCATAAGGAATGATAATGGTTTAGTATTACTATTTAAACCATAGCTGGGAATAGAAGAGGTGGATTCATACATTTCCCAAGCGTATTTGCGCGTGAGTGAATATAATGAACCCAACGGAAGTTGGAACTCGGCTCTCCTGTTAACAAATTTCGGACCATTACACCACCCGCACATCTAAGCTTATAGCGCCTAGTATTCCCAAACAGTCACCGATCTAGGTACTGACCAGGTGCGACGTTGCTTAACTTCGGTGATCGTAAGGAAACCAATGTTTCAACGTGATGTAGCCGTAAGCCACAGAACAAGGGTTAAATGGTAATAGAATAATTGTTATTCGCTAATATTCCAAGTAAGGAAGACATCACGCATTTGAAAGCTTACCTGGAGTCGAAAAGGGCCTCTCACGATAACGAGAAATATTTTTTTAATATTATTTTTTCATCATGTCACGATAAACTTGAAGATAGACATGCCATCAGTGACGGTTGCGGAAAATATACCAGCGACATATTTTCTCTCGTTTATATATATATATATATATATATATATAAAACACACACACAAATCGCAATTGCCAAACTTACCTTTAGAACGTGATCCCCAATATATTGAAATTATCATTCATAATTAATACATATCATCCTAATGTACAAATAAGTGTAATGTTTGGGAACGAGAAACCAGAGAACCGAGTTAGTAACATTAAATTTTTGGAAAGGCATGAAGCGATCTCTGCCCCCAGTTATGGGTTAAATATCCTGGATGTGGTAACCAACCTATTCAAACCAACCTGAAGAAACATGACCTGACTAGAAAATCATTCGAAAGCTTACCTGGAGTCGAACACTGGCCTCTGACGATAGCGAGAAATATTCGACTATTTCAAGTTAACAGGCAAGCTGAAGTTATCTTGTTCTTTGTTGCTTATGCTAATGCCCCATATGTACGTTGCAACCACTTGAAATTTCAATATTGTCTGAGTTTGACAACTCTGGAAACACAGTTCCTGTCTTCACTTAATATTATATTAATGATAATATTCCAAAAGATAAAGAGATTATATGATAAAGATATGATATGATAAAATAATAAAGAGATTATAAGATAGAGATTCTATGGTTTCCGTTTTGTCTTAGTTTCACTCCTTTCTTCGTAATTTTTCAGATTCAGAGCATGGACGATTTGACAGTTTTAATCGTCATGAAAACAAAGAAGAAGATATTACTATTTTTCCTTCACCCCAGGGAAGAATAGGGTGCGTAATTACAAGGTGAGTTTAACTGACCCTTCAATTCAGTAAATCAGGTCTTTTCTTTTCTTTTTAAATCATTTCAATTTCAAGCAAAGCAACAATGCCACTAATACGCAGTAGGGGTGAAACAGAAGACTGAGAATAGGGCGAATTGAGGAAAGGACAAAAGTTTATCAAGATTCAAGAAGACAGAAGATGGCGATTGATGTGGCATTTAAATTTTTGAAGATTGTACTTATCAAGGAAGCATGTTAATGGAAGGAAGTTCCACAGGCGGGAAATGCGAGAAAAGAAACTGTTGGAGTCAAAGTGGCGGTTACATTTAACTATTTCAACAATAAAAGGGTGGGATCTAGATGTCAAACTAGTAAATTCGTGTATACGGGGCACCAGGGGAAAAAAAACTCGTCAGAACAGATGCCATGAAAATATTTGTAGAAAAGACAGAGGGAAGCCATGTCACGTCGGTGAGAAAGTGACTGAAGTCGAGATGCCAAGTGAGGATTGATTACATTGCAGATCCTTCTTTGGATTTTATCAAGACTTGCCTTTTCATTGTTTATGACACAGTTTTTCAAAGCAGCAGAATTAAAAGCGACTCTTGTCCGAAGTTAACCAATGGCTTCGTAACATTAAATTATTCTGGGATCGTTCAGTTTTTTGGGTTTTTTTGAGGGTTTTTTTGTTTTTGTTTTTTGTTATGTTTTGTTTTGTTTTGTTTTTTGTTTTGTTTTTTTTTTTGGGGTCTTTTTGTTTCCAACAATATTTCGGTCGGAACTTTCAGATAAAATTAAAAAGAAAAAAAAATACAGCCATCTCCAAAGCGTGTATACAGCAGCAAGCATGAAAACACAAAAGAGAAAAAGTAAAGAAAAACTGGCCTACCCTGAAGGAGTTGAGCCCATTTGTCACGATCTTGGCAGAGCGTCGGAACATCCTCCAGCGCCAGATTAATCTGCTGGGGGACTTGAAAGACACGTCCTTCTAGCAGCTGCGTGGTCTGCTGTGAGGTCGTCTCCTGTTTGCAGATGATATTCGCTCGATCAGGTCCTCGCAGCAGGTGACCGAACAATCGAGCACGATGGCTGACCGGTCCTACGCATTGAACACAAGATCGGGCCAGTGCACCATCTCGATGGTCTTAATGGTGCAGAACTCGAAGGCAACATCTCGACACCGTATAGTAGCATAGAAAGTACAGTGGCTTTGTAACACAATTCCGTTAAGCGCTGTGGTTATACAGAAAACGTCGCTTAACGGAATTGTGTGAATCAGTGCGAGAATAACAGAAAAAGATTTACACGGGAAAAGCCGAAGAATAGACCGACTGAAACTTCACGAGCCTAACAACAAAGGTGAGGATAAAAAAAAACTGATCTCACAAAATGGCAGAATAAACAAATAATCAGTCTGGTAAAGTTTCTCGTCTATTTACGATCACTTTGTATTAGTGAGGTTGGCACAAAATTTCCGAGGTAAATCCTTCAAAGTTTACAGCTTCCTACCAAACTTGAAATACATTCGTAAAGATGTTCTACCCCCATCTCCTCTCACGTTAATTTAAAATATCAAAATCTTCTCGAATTCTTATTTCTAATAAATTTAAAAGAATGTACGATTTATATGGATATTGGGTCACAGGTTTCAATCTTGTAAAAAACCTTCAGAATACTCAAGAAGAAATAATAATATGTATAGCTGACCACTCGTATTCGAGGATATCTGTCTCCTAGGGCGGCTAGCCAATCCCTATTGCAGACGCTTTCTCAGGCGCATTTGTGTTTATTCAACACTCACAGAGCCCACTTGTGGTTTTTACTGCAACTATGCTGAGCAGAGCTTAGTTACAGTTTCTGGGAAAGAGCGTGTTATCAACAATTTGAACAAGGCCAGCACGCTCAAACCCTCGGCCACGATGACTTGTGACTTCGTGCTAGCACAGCTATCGACGGCTCACAAGAGTTCCGTCTACCCAATTTCACTCACAAGGCTGGTACGGTTTTCAGGGACTTTCCAAAGGTGCCGCCCGCTGGGATCGATCCCTCCTGTCCGATAACGTCAGGATTCTCCGAGATTCGAACCCGGGTCTCATAATCAGAATGCGAACGTTCTAACCACTCGGTCACGTGGCAATAATAATAATAATAGTAATGAGGATGATGCCAATGACCCTTCTTCCTATGAAAGAGGTTTTCTATCCCTGTTAAAGAAATGTCGTCGACGTGTTTCCAGTAATTCTCAAAAAAATTTAGGTACTTGCATATTTTCTATTGGCGACACTGGTTCGAGTCCAAATAAAAGGCGGAATTCCGATTGCTGATTTTCACTTGAAAGCGTCGTCATCCAAAAAAAAAATTTTCATTTTATGGATTAACACGTCACGAAGCCGTGTCGACATCATATGTATTGCAGCCTTATCAACCATGGTGTGCCTTGAACAAGATAACCTGATGGAGACCATGTTTCTCCAGGTTGGTTTTGAATAGGTTGGCTACCACCTCCAGGATATTTAACCCATAGCTGGGGGGAGAGATCGCTTCATGCCTTTCCAAAAATTTAATGTTACGAACTCGGTTCGCTGGTTTCTCGTTCCCAAACATTACACTTATTTGTACATTAGGATGATATGTATTAATTATGAATGGTAATTTCAATATATTTTAATATCAATACACATTCTTCTTTTTATTATTATTATTATTATTATTATTATTTTAGAGACGGAGTTACGGGCCATGAGGTGATCGTAAAAAGTATTGTACCCAATTCACCAGCCAGTAAAGCAGGGCTAAATGTAGGGGATCACGTTCTAAAGGTAAGTTTGGCAATTGCGAAACTTATATATATATATAAATGAGAGAAAATATGTCGCTGGCATATTTTCCGCAATCGACAATGATGGCCTGTCTATCTTCCGGTTTATCGTGACATGAAAAATAACTCATCCACCTCCACCCTCTGAGCTTAATTTTCTATTTAACGCAGGTCTGACATTTAAATGGTTAATCAAAACATACCCACAAGTCTATTTTTAATTCTGATTTATACCCCACCCACTTAACTTTCGGAAAAGAGGTAACACTTTGTTTTTAAATTTCCTTAAAAATCATTTAATCACTAGTTACTTACCATCGCCTGAAGAACTACAATCAAAGTATTGAAACATGAAAGCTTTTGTGTAGCGATTTCAAAAATGTTTTTATTATAATTTCTTATAACAAAATTATTTTTATTATATAATATAAATATAAAAGTGAACATAGAAGTCAACACTTAGAGGCGACAGTCTGCTTCATGCTATATGCAATCGTCAGGCCATATATATATATATATATATATATATATATATACACAAAAAGGAAAACTTAAAACTCAGTGTTTTCGTCCTCTGATGGACATTATCAAGGCGAATATAAGGATTTTATTTTGCAACAAGTATTTATAAACAAAAGTAGAAATGTCGTTAATTATGTTTAATTTTTTAACAATTTAACAACCCTCATCAATAATCATCAGGCTAACTGAAAAGTTTAGTTAAATTATGGAAGATGCTAAGTGACATAATTTTATGTCTAATAAACAAAAGTGAGTAATTTTTTAATAATGTAATAATCATTTATATTTTAGTTTGGATTTAATATATGTGTTATATATTTTATATATTAGAACGTTATGAATTAAATCGTTTTCTTTTAATTTTTTAACATTTTTATAGTCATGTATGTTGGATTGGGAAAGGAGTTTTTCTCCTTCCATAAATATTAATTACATTATTAAAAAAAATTTACTCACTTTTGTAACAAATCCTCGAAGCGACAGTTACCGAAAAAGGGGTAAAGCTTCCTCCAACTTTACCCTTTTTTCCTGAAGAAATAATTTTTCCTTTCACTGGGTTCAATAAGTCGGCCATGAACAGCGGATTTAAAAACTCTTTCTAATTATGTGTGTGTGCGTGTGCTTTAAAAGAGAGAGAGAGAGATTTAAAAATTAGACAAAAACTTGATTTTAATAAAGGCTTTAATTTAATTTTTATTATGAGAAGCAGTCACAATAGTTTTACTAATAACTTCTTTTAATTTTATCCTTTTTCTTAAACATTTCTAGATAGACGGCATTGACGTCAGTCTCCTGACCGAAAAGCAAGTTGTCTCCCTTGCCACATCGTCCAAGAAAGTGAAGCTTCGAATCGGAAAAGCACCATACTACCCGTTGCGTAATAGCGGTGAACGGAACGTTTCCCCAAAACTTCGATCATACGGGTCAGTAATATATAGCGTCGATGGTCATACGGCAAATATAGCATTCTTTATAGTATAATTATTAAATCATACCTTATCGAAACTGTTTATCATAAAAGTAAACTACGCCATTTTGTCTGAAATACTGAAGTCAAAATAATGGACAAATTTTATATTGAATAATAAGACGGCTAAAGAAATCAGAATATAAAAAACTGTTGGGATTTTCAGGCTTGCGTGTGTGTTTGTGCTCGGCAGTGTGAGTGGAATGAACACATGGGTACGACAGATGAGCAGGTGAGGCAGAATAAGTGAAAGACAATCAAAGATTTGGAAACACTTCCAAAAAATTCATATGCTAAAAATAAATAGGATTTCAAAATTTAAAACATTATTATGGATTACTTGTAATTGCATGCATGAGTCCCAGTATAAATAGTTATAAATTATTGACTGATTTTATCATTGTGATAATTTTGCATTATATCTAGTATTAAGAATATAGTAACTAGGCTCCGTAAATTGGAGGAGAGAGTTATCAATAATAATGTTCTGACTTCGAATCTGCGGTTATCTCCCTTTAACCAACTCTCTGTTTTTTTTGTTTTGTTTTGTTTTTTTAAATGTACTTTTTATCACATAAAATTTGACGAGTCGCAAACAAATTGACATTCCGAAAATACGTGAAATATTGAAAAGGTCTGGTGAGAAGACGTATCCTTGTCTTACACCCTTTTTATTTTTGTATATTTAATTCATTTTAATTCATTTTAACTCATTTTCTATCCGTATATAGGTGGTTTGCTAATAGTATAGGTTCTGGATTCGTTTAATATCCCTCCCACATATGACAAGGTTACCTCGCAGTTTCAGCATTTATTTGTAACGTACTTAATCAAACGCTTTTGCATACTCTTTAAAACATAGGTATATATCAATTGTATTTTTATTGCTCTTTGTGATATCATTCTGAGCATAAATATAGCATTTCTTGTTCCAGTGTCTTTAACGAACCCGCACTGTTCTTGTCCTATTTCCTGTTTGATTCTACTGTGCGCTCTATTCCTCAAAATTCGAGCGATAAGTTTACTTACGTGGCTCATGAATATGGATCTAGTTAGGTCTTCCAGTATATCGCCAGTTGTATATTTCATTTATTATGTAATATTTCCTTCTACTCCTCCCCCAGCCATGAACCTCCTACCAACAAAATATCTTTCCGTTATCAACGCGAAGACTGGAACTCGTTCCGTGATTTCCTTCGCGATGTCCCCTGGAATGTGGTTTTTAATCACCCCGTTCAAAAATGTGCGTCTGAAGTCTCCATCTGGGTAAAAGCCGGCATCGAGGCTTTCATCTCAGCAAGAAAATACAAAGTTAAATCGTGCTCATCTCACTGGTTCTCACCTGCTTGCGCAGCTGTAATAGCCAATAGAAATCACTTCTTCCATCTGTGGCGAAGCGACATGTCTGATTGCAATAGACGTCTCTTTGTCTCTGCTCGTAATGAGTGTAAACGTGTCCTCAATGAAGCAAAGCTACTATTTGTTGATAGAATCATACAACTTATTGCATCTCGCAAGTTTGGTTCTAAAGATTATAGGCGGCTCTACAAGAGTGTGCTGAACAAAAGCAAATCCACAATCCCTCCTCTATTCAATCAATTCGAAGTTCTAACTGATAAGGGTGAATGCTTTGCTCGGAAATTCTCATCCAACTCAACATTAGACTCATCTGGAGTACCCACACCTGATTTTCCCCTTAGAACTGAGGCTCTATTAAGTGAGATGAGCAGTGATGGTGGTGGCGAGATACTAGCCGTAGTCCAAAAGAAATGTGCTCCTGAGTTGGCTCCAGTTCTCTCCAAGCTATATAACAATTGCTTTGCTGACATCTGCTTTCCAGCCTGTTGAAAGTCCTCATCTGTTGTCCCTGTTTTTAAGAACTCTGCGGACCTTTTTGACTCATCTAACTACCGTTCTATCAGTCTCCTATCAATCTTCGGCAAAGTCTTCGAGGCTTTAATCAATGCCAAAATGGTTAAGCAACTTACCTCCCATGATCTACTCTCCGACAAACAATATGGTTTCCGCTTTGTCCGGTCTACTGCTGATGTGCTTACGGACATAACTGAATTTGTATACAAGCTCTTGATAACAACGACGAAGCTCAAGCTACGGCTCTAGATATAAGGTGTTTGATAGGGTTTGGCATGCCGGCCTTCTACGTAAGCTTCAGGGATACCGTATTACAGGATGATTTAATCCAATAATTCCTGTCAAACCGTGAAATTAAGATTGTCCTAAACGGGTTCGCCTCTAGTTTCTTCCATACGAACGCTGGTGTTCCTCAAGGCTCTATCCAGGATCCTACACTGTTTCTTCATCAGCTATCTTCCTGATGTCATCAGTTCTCAAGTAGGCATCTACGCAGACGACACTCTCAGTAGTAAATCCGGCATTGCTGGCAGTTAACCTTGCCGTTGGTCTCGAAAAGGACCTCCAATCTGTGATTGACTGGGGCAGGAAATGGCATGCAAATTTTAATGCTTCCAAAACGAAACTGCTCTCATTTACCCACCATAGAGAAACTTCCCTGCCTCCTATCAAAATGGCTGATGCCCAACTTCACAGAACGCCTCTCTGCGTTCATTTCAAAACCCTAGTCGAATTTGCCAACTATTTCGCCATCTCGATCCTTGCCTACTTTGGCATTCAAGTCTCCCATGGCAACTAAGATGGCTATGTTGAAAGGCTTTCCCTTCAGTCTAACAATAAGAATTCTTTCAGATAGTTGACAGTAAACAATAATATAATTTTTCATGTCTTGGTCTAGTATCAGTCCTATTCCTCTTTCATTTTTCTCCCCACCTGCATATATGATCTTGTATTTGTCATTGACGAAATCTCCATTGTTTGCACACCTCCTACCACATACGCCTAAAATGTTAACATTTTTACCTGTTAATTTCCTGCTTTATATTTTAATCCCTCTCTTCTTCCTGCAGCTATGGGCTAAATATTTGGTCAGACTAGGTTCAATAGACTAGGCTGACAACCAATCTAAGAGAAGGACAACTCAACACCGGTTGAGTGTGGGGCTAGCAACTCCATCCTATAAAAATCTACTTGCTACAGCAATATCTGGAGTTATCAGACTGTCTTCCTATATTCCACTGAGGGGGGGGGAACAGGTTTCACTAAACGAGCGACCTTTTCCGGGTTTAAGTTTTTTGTTTTGATTTTATGGTGAATAGTGAAAAAGAGCCAATGTTTTATCGTTTTCGGTGAGAAAATGAAACTGAAATTATGTTTGTTTGTTTTTTAGTTTCTGTACTTTAAAATCAAGGAAAGATAATTTTTATGAGGATTAATGAAAACGACTCAAGTTTACTCACAGTTGCTTCAGATGGTAATAGTTATGGTGATATTAGCCGTTTCCTTATAAGGAAACATTTGGCATTCATAGACCAAGCAGCCAGTACTGAGAAACAGGTTTCTGAAATCCAATAGCTGTTATTGCACTTTCCAATATTGCAGAGGGGGGGGGTCCTAAAAGTGTCGACCAAATGAGTTCTTTAATTATAACTCAGAAATTCGTTTTGAAAAATATATCTTTTTATAGTTTCGCCGGGTGTTTTTCTCCAAACTAGGATCCGTTTTCGTGTCTAAAGTATTATTTAAATTGGAGAAAAGAATGTCTTTCAGTGGATATTCAAATAGCACTTCTTGGCCACCACGCTCCCCACTGCTAAGTTGATTGGGTACTTGACAGTGATCTGACTACACGTAACCATAGAAACTCCACACCACTGTAAATCGTCTCAAGAGGCAAAAAAAATACTCGAAACGATGCGTTTGTTTGTTTTTTTGTTTTTTGTTTTTTGCAAATTGCTCCCAATTTTAGGTATAACAGTCCAGCCTTAGAAAAACTTTTAATACTGTCTGTAACCTATTTTGTGAAGATGCAATTGGTGTATTGTTATCGTCACGGAAAATGAGTTAAATTTCCGACGGAAACTGTTTGCATGCACTTCGCACTATTAGCCTTGGGAAAGGCATGAATTTGTATTTTCCCTCATTCTCTATAGTCTGAATAGTTGCGATGAAAAGTAAGTTAAATTACAATAAAAATGAACCCTAAAAAATTAATAATAAACGAGGTTTGGTTATTTAAAAGAGTACTGATCTGTTATGTACTATCAGTCCTCTTATATGGCAATGAATGTCGGACATTCTCATCACAAAGGAAGAAGAGACTTAAAGCAACAGAAATGTGATTCTACAGAAGGATGCTGAGAATATTATGGATTGAACATGTGAACAATGAGGAGGTTTTAGAGAAAATGGATACAAAAAGGACACTTATACGTAACACCAGAAAGAGTTGAAATTTGTAGAACATATAATGTGGAAAGGGGGCTTGGAAAATTTGATACTCACGAGGTAGATTGAAAGCAAAAGGGACAGACGAAAACGGTGCGTAACCTACCTGGAGAGCTTGAGCAAATTGGACGGCTGAGCGGGGTTTAGATGAGATAACAAAAAGACGAAATTTATTAAGAGCAACAAAAGACAGGAAATTGTGGAGAGCCATGATTGCTAACGTTCTGAAAGGAAAGCGCACATAGAAGATTTGAAAAATACTTTCTCTGAATACTTGCCAAATTAGCGACACCAAATCTTTAACAAAAAAAGTTTGTGAATAAAGTGAGCAAAAAGAAATTTTTATAATAATCGTATTAAGAAACAATTTGGAAAAGAAGAAAAATCCACTGCAATGGTCGAAAAAAAGTCGCCAAATTCCATAAAATTGTTTGAAAATTTACAGTAGAAATAGATTTAAAATGAAATTTTATAGTCATTTTAAAAATTATTTTATTTACTAAACTTCATACATGCAATAAGGCCAACTATGGCGCTAATGTTCCAAGACAGCCTTTAAAAACCTCAGTATTTAAAATTCAGCGCTTTAAAGTAGTTTTTGGGGTGTCTAAATTTAAAGCGGAAGACACCCCAACCTTACCCTGACTTGATATCTGTGAATGTAACCGTGATATTGATACAAATTATTAACACCTCACGCCCCTTTTCTTTAAACAATTGCTCTAGCCGTTACCATTGAAATTTTGATTTCAATAATGAATATGCTTATAAAACGCGTAAATTTCAGAAATAAGTTATTCAAAAAAATTTCGCTTGAAGATGGAACAGAGCATAGTATTTTAATATCCTTTGGCTTTTCCTTTTAATAACAGCATAAAGATTTTGACGGTAAAACTTTGTTTTTATTAAGTTTGAGTCATATTTTCATCATGGTAAGCTCATTTTTTAACGAATCTTTGGAGGTACCCAATATTTTATATTGTTTTGTTTTTATTTCTTATCCTGTTTATATATTATTTCTTTTAATCTAGGTCCGAGACACATTACCTCCCCTACGAGAGTTACGCCCCCTTAAACCGAGTATACAGTTTCGACTGCCTGTCACCTGTCAGATCAAGCGAACACGGGTCCCATATTTATTACAGCTACCAACGACCAGGAAGTGCCCATGCCTTAGGAAGTTACCCGCACTCCCACACAGGCTATCGGAAGATAACGGCTTCTTCACGTTCTGGTCCAGCGATAATGTCCAAAGGAGCCAGACAGCATGCGACTCACAGTACCACTTACCTGAGATCGGTCAGTCATCGGCTGGAAGATCTTCACCTGAGTGGTCATTATGAATCACGTTCTGCCAGATCGGCGCCGGCGGGGAGACTCTACCATTCAAGAAGTTCGGGAGCTATTAATTTTTTGAGCGATTTTGAAGAAACAAACCGGAAGCCCAAATATGGACATCTAAAAAGTCAAAGGGTCACTTCCTCTTCCTCCAGTCCTAACTATTACATGTCAGACAGTGACTCATGGCATTTATACTAAATAACCAATCCACTTATACTAAATAACCAATCAGAAATCGAGTCGCAGGAAACATATTGATTTTACACGTATAGTCACTTCTATATATACGACTAAGATGAAATATATACATACACATATATATATATATATATATATATATATATATATATATATATATATATATATATATATATATATATATATATATATATATATATATACACATATATATATATACATATATATATATATATACATATATATATATATATATATATATATACATATATATATATACATACACATATATATACATATATATATATATATATATATACATATATATATATATATATATATATATATATATATATATATATATATACATATATATATATATATATACATATATATATATATATATATATATATATATATATATATAATATCGTATAGTGAGTGCTGCTGGTAATAAAACAGTGCTCAATGTAAAACAACAGACATAAAACTTATACTATTAATAATAAATATACATCTTGTTCCTCGCGGTTTGGTACAACTCTTATATCCATATAAATATGGACACTGAGGTCAACAATGAATTTCGATAGTCTGTTCTATGCTTGAACGCAATTTTAAGGACATCTTTGCTTGTGGGGTGGCTCGATTCTTTATATAGGCCGGTCAAGCGTGAAACAGACTGTTGCCACTCAGCGTTGACCCCAGTACCCATTTTTATATTTACATACGCTCTATCCCTGATTTTGGCCATTTCTACTGACAAATATAGCATACCGAAAAAACTATATTTTTATCACATTATATATATATATATATATATATATATATATATTCCATGTTTGCCGGCAACAACTGGATTTCGAAGGATCACCTCAAAAACTAATCACCTTTCAAAACTTAAAAATTTAATCCTTTATTACATAAAGTTTCTTAATTTTTTTTACCTCTGTTTAATCTATCTTGCTGGCTAATGTTAAGCTTATTGCTGGCGATTTGAAATTTTAGTTAATCCACACTTTAAAAACAGTTGAACGATATGCACTAATGGGTTAAATAATTTCAGTCTTAGTAGGAGTTAATTAAACAAAAATTATTAATTATTAAATCCAGACGGTGCCCTTAAACATTTGGTCCAATATATATATATATATATAAAAAATATATATAATATTGCCACTTTACATAAGACGACCATCTCTTCTTACTTTTAAAATGAAGATTTGTTCGAATAGTAAGTATAAAATCATCTTAAAACGATAAAAAATAAAACGGATGAAATATGTTAAAAGAAAATCACTCGCGTTTGCAAACAATTTATAAAAGTCTATCCTTAATTTTTAAATGTTAAAACACTTACAGTTAAAATAATATTAAACAGGATATAAAAAAAGGAAAACTAGTAAAATGATAAAAGGAATAAAACCCAGGTAAGAAAACTTCAAAACAAAATACAGCCAGTTCACGTTTATGATAGTGACTGCAACTTATAATGCATTGCCATGTTCATGTGCCCACAAGCGGCTCTTTAACCCAGCTGCACTCTTACAAGCTTTCTAATATAAATAACAAATGAATGGTGTAATGAGAGTTTTGAAGGTTATTCTGTCTTGATGAAATCTATTAGTATATATATATATATATATATATATGACAAAAAAAGTGGTCCACGTGTGAGTCTTAAAATTATGTAAATAAAAACGGACAAACGAAAAGGTACCAATATAATCAGTACAAACATTCATTAAATACTAGCCGAGGTATCCGGCGTTGCCCGGGTGTACATGGCTGCAATTTTGTAATCACACCCCACTGTATACCCGCACCCCGCTGTCTAGAAATGTCTGCCTGCGCTCCCGCAGGCATGCATCATCTGTTGGTATACTGAGCTACTCCCCACCACCCTCAACTTTTTTTACGGTACAGCCTTCGTAATTGTTCTTAATAAAGGAGTTCCATCGATAAAACCTTCTTGTGTGGTCGTTGCTCGGCGTTAAATCGTCTCAATGTTTTAGATATTCAGTAAATTTCCTATAGGTGTAATAATTTTCAAATAGTATGGTATTGTTCACAAATCAAATAATCAAACAAAAACTGAAATGAAGCGCCAGAGCTTGATTCAACTGCAAGTGCAAACGCATGAACACCCACCCCCTCTTTCTTCGCACGTTTACTGTAAAGATGGGGTTAATAAGAGGTTCTTAGGAAAATTTTCCTTTTTAACGCTTTCATAATACTTCTCAAACAATCTTTGCATCAAAAGTTGTTCGATGCCAATTTAGGATGGAATCATGAATAAACTATTGGCTAAATGGCAAAAGTCGATTTTGGACTTAGTTCGTCGCAGATTTCGTCCACTTAACTGAAATAATCTAAACCAAACATTCAGGCAAGGCAAATTGTGTGTCATGGAATTTATATGGCAAATTTGGAAGTCATCGGATGAAAAACCAGGGAGTTATAGTCAAAAAGCGGGCTTTTTGAACAGTTTTTCGTGGTTTTTCGTTATAGGCCGGAAAGGGAACAGGACTAAAACCACACTATCTAATTTCTTGCATTTCTTTTGCGACTTGTTTGAAGAAAATCGGATAAAAAATGAGGAAATTAAGTTTTTATTTTATGTAGTACGAAGAAACCGATTGTTTCACAGATTTTTGCAGTTTTTTGTGTGAAGCCAATGTCGCAGGAAAACAATCAAGCACTCGACATAAACCTCGTAATATGAGCTATGTTTTGCATTAAGTGCAAGGAACATCCAGTAAAAAAATTTTCGCGTGTAACTTTGCCTTGGTTTTTCCAAAAAGTCGTACCCACCTTCAGTTTTATCGATTTTTCTGCAAAGTCCGGAGCGCCTGGAAATTGAAAAATTAGTCTTAACTTAAAATGGTAAATTTGCAATATGTGTGTACAATTTAATCAAAATTGGACAAGAAATGTGGAGGTGCTTATATAGCATACACACACACACACACACACACACAGACGGACAAACACACAGACATCTTCTGCTTTATAGATATAGTTTAACTATATGACAGCACTATAACTTGCTACACGCGAGACATCTTTCCTCCTCCCCAACCAATAACTCTCTTCATCAATGTTTACAATCTCACTCCCCTCCCACGGCACACACTAATAACAATAGACCGGCCTTACACTTTTACACTGATCAAAATTTAAATTTAAGTTTATTTTCATAAAAGTTTCGCACATCGATGTATTAGACAGAGACCTGGGTTTTACTAATAATAAGATTTCCACTGGAAAATACCCCATCTACAAAAACATCTGCCGGTGAGTAATTCCCATTTCTCTCTTTGTTCCTCGGATCGTTGATAAAGGACACAAGTGTGTCCGAAAATTTTGAAGATAAAATCTTTCTCTCCGTGCTTCCTTTCTGTCATATGGTTAATATTTAATGTTTATCGTACTGGTTATATTGGTACCTTTTCGTTCGCCCATTTTTATTAACCAGCCTATTTTATATATATATATATATATATATATATATATATATATATATATATATATATATATATATATAAGTAAAGGATTGGTGTATACGGAATAAATTCCAATAACCAACAATTACTATTCTTAAAAGAGTGCTCAATACAGAGTAGAGCAAATATAATTATTTATTCGAAAATTATAACATAAATATGTTATAAAATCACTAATCACTACAAATATTATGACATATTTATAATTTTCGAATAAATAATTATATATATATATATATTGTACTGGAAATATGCCTTATTCGGGATCAGTATCAATTTTTTTTTTTTTTCATATTTGCAAAACAAAATAAAAATAAAAGAAAAACGTGTACCCCGATTCTCATAACAAAAATATATAAAATATTCTTTTACAAAATTTTTCTGCGTGTAAATTTTTTTCTGGAGAATCAAAAGAAAAAATAATTTCTTGAAAACTGTTTTTTCATCCTCGAAAAAAATTACTACTTTCGGGTTTTTAAAAAAAAATGATATCCGAAATATGAAACATGGAAAAAATGTGACCGAAAATGCATTTCAAACATGTCTCTGTGTGATCTTCCAGATGATGAACCTTGCACGGATTTTGCTGATTTTTCTGAATAGCCAATTTTATCGCATTAGAAAAATCATTTCATGTTCTAAATCGCTTTTTATCTAATAAATATTTTTTTAGCCTGACAATCTCCTTTCAATTCATGACGTTCCTCGCCATTTGACTACATACGGTGGCAAGGAAATTGGAGGTTTTGAGTAGCGTGGAGCCACCTCTTAATTGCTGTTGTTCCTAGGTCGACCCTGACACGGGGTGTTAGCACCTATTAAGATCACAGCTATGAGAAAATAGTGAACCCCCCAAACAAAAACACTATGAAAGTATAAAAATACATTTTTATAGTAAAAATACCAGTAATACATTTTTATCTAAAAAAAATAACCAACAATACATATTTGTAGCGAAATTGCGAAGAATACTTATTTATAGTAAAATTACCAACAATACATTTTTAAAGCAAAATGACCAACGACTTCGACATAGTGGTTGATATGTCGCAAAACAAAATCCACCAAACCTCACCGTTTGTTTTTACTTAAGTACAAACGAGATTCATAAAGAGTTCAACTCATGTAAGTTGTGTCCAAATTTTAATTTCTGGAATCAGTCGATAAACGGTGCTTTCAACGTGACCTGGTCGCAAACCCATTTATGAAGCTTAATCCCACACAAGCAAACAAAATTATACATGTAGGACAATAATTAAGGATTGAATTCTTTAATAAACAAATTGTTCTATGATATAAGCTTGGTAAACATTTCAATAAACGTAGACGCTTACTGGCTTCTCGATCTCATTAGATTTATTTGCTTCTGACGAGAATAGCAGCAAAATAAATTGACTGAAAGGCAGATGAGAGAACTGAAGGTCATTAAAGACGGCTAAAAAGAGATTACGCTCGACGAAATGACATCGTAGTTTTGACGAAGAACAGTGTCAC